GAGGTGATCTTGGAGCCCAGGAAAATAAAATCTGTCACTACCTCCATTTCTTCCCCATCTATTTGCCAGGAATTGAGAGGGCCGGATGCCATGATTTTGGTTTTCTTAATGTTGAGTTTCAAGCCAACTTTTGCACTCTCCTTCTTCACCCACATCAAGAGGCTCTTTAGTTCCTCTTCACTTTCTGCCATTAGAGTGGTATCATCTGCATATTTTAGGTTGTTGATATTTCTCCCGGCAATCTTAATTCCAACTTTTGATTCATCTAGCCCTGCCTTTCTCATGATGTGCTCTGCATATAAGTTAAATAGACAGAGTGACAGTATACAGCCTTGCCAGACTCCTTTCCCAATTTTGAACCAATCAGTGGTTCCGTGTCCAGTTCTCACTGTTGCTTCTTGACCCACATATAGGTTTCTCAAGAGACAAATAAGATGGTCTGGTACTCCCATCTCTTTAAGAACTTGCCACAATTTGTTATGATCCACACAATCAAATGCTTTAGCATAGTCAATGAAGCAGAAGTAGAAGTTTTTCTGGAAATCCCTAGCTTTCTCCATGATCCAGCGTATGTTGGCAATTTGATCTCTAGTTCCTCTGCCTCTTCGAAATCCTGCCTGTACTTCAGGTGGTTCTCGATCCACATACTGCTGGAGTCTAGCTTGTAGGATTTTAAGCATAACTTTACTACCATGTGAAATGAGTGCAATGGTGCAATAGTTTGAACATTCTTTGGCATTGCCTTTCTTTGGAATTGGAATGTAAACTGACCACAGGATTGGATTCAACCTTAATAACGCAATATTATTTGTGATGACGATGCCCACTCTCAAGAAGGAGCTGGCCCTAATAAGACATTTCCTTTCTTTCTTCCTTTTAACTAAAAGGTAGTAGCCAAGATTGTTGATTTATTTTCAACTGATTGCCTGATGCACACAACAGAGATTCACATGCAATTAACATGACATTTTTTCCCTCTTAATCAAAAATAAGACAACAATAATTTCTCCCACCACCACATCCAGTTAAGAGAAGTGATTCTGTGATTTAGTTTATTCCTGCCCAATCCTGCTACAAGGGTATAAAGCAGGTGATTTCTGTGGATGACCCAGAAAGCAGCTGGATTAGCAAGTAAATGATCAAACAACCATGTATTTGTCCCATCATTAAGTTTTACTATTAATTTCACATGTGCAAGCATGAATTTAAAAAAAGCTAGCCTGATCTAAATCTGACAGGACTCGGCACCTTCCAAGTTTAGAACAGATT